TTCAAGGGCTAACGGCCTCTGCAAATGCAAAGTGGATTACATGCTGGGGAGCAGGTAGGAGATGGGATTGACAAAGTGAGACCTAGTACACTATGGGAGGGGAGACTATGGCATCCTGAGCCCCTAATGCTTCAGACTGGATCTTGGACTCTCCCTGAGCTTTGTCCTAAGGACACTTTTAAAAGCAATCAAGTAAATCCCCCAGCAGTCACCCCAACAAGGGGCAGAGAGAGAAAGTCTGGGGGTGAGTCAGAAATGGGGAAGAAGTGAAATTCTCTGGGCTCTCCCATCCAGGATACACATCTATACTTTCTCTGTTTTCATCTGTGTTTCTCTTTCCTCAGCATTTACTGTGCCAACGTCTAGGAACTCCTGCCCTGGTATCTTCTTCTTATCTTCTGCCAGGGAGTGATGGGCAAGGACCTATCTGGAAAATGGCTGGTTGGCCCCTGCACTGGGTATCCCCAGGAAGGGAGGCAGGGGGAGCACCTCACCTCTCATCTCATGGCTCACTGTGAGGTCAAATGAAAACCTGGTATACCTGGGAGACCACTCTGCAAAAGCAAGAGACAATCGTCCCTATGCCCAGAAGCTCCTGCAACCACAGGACACAAATCCTGTCCTCTTTCCAGCAAGAAGGAAAAGGGGACACCCGCCTTATCAAGGAACCCCCTGGACAGATACACAAACCAAGGCAGGAAAAGGAGAGGCTGTCTCCAAGGCTGGGTTTGTGCGTCAGTGCTCCCGTAGCTTGCAGAGAGCATGGTCACCCCCACCCCCCACTTTATTCCAAGGCTGCTTGCCCTCCACACTCCCAGACTCCGATGGTGCCCACTGCTCCCAAGCAGGGACAAAATCATTTGCAAGAGGTGGGTGGGGAGGGTAGAAGCAGCCTGCAGACATTACTCACTCTATGCCCTCTCTTCAGTTAGAATCACATGGCGACCCTGGTCAGCCCCAGTGAAGAAGTGGTTGTCAGCTAAAGGGACCACTAGGGGAGACTGTGTGGACAAGGCAGACACATGCCAGACGAAAGACAAGTATATGAGGGGGTAAAACACAAAACAAAACAAAACAACCAAACTCACTGCCTTTGAGTTTATTCCAACTCACAGCAATCCCTCCCTGGGTTTCCAAGGCAGTATCTCTAAAGAAGTAGATTGCCCAGTCTTCCTTCCAAGGAGTGGCTGGTGGGTTTGAACCACCAGCCTTCTGGTTATCAGCCAAATGCCTTAGGCACTACACCACTAGAGCTCAGGAGCAAAAATCCAGGCTCTTTAACAATGACCACAAAATACAACCTCTAGGAAAAAAAGCCTACTTCTTTCTTCCTGTGCCTTCCTGTGCATCTACTCACAGCTTGCTGGAGACTAGCAGGCAGAGTGTGGCTGGGTCAGGGCATCCATCCAATTTTTCTGGGGGAGGTAGGTGGCCCTGAGCACCCCTTCCCACAGTGGCCTGGAAGACTGCTTGTGGGGCAGCTGAATGGTCAGATATTCATCATGACTATGTCCATAGTTTCTACCAGGCACAAAGTCCTTGTTCTGTGATTGACCCTCATACATCCCCATTGTCCAGGTGAGGGGGTGGAGACAAAGTGAGGTCACGTGATTTTTTCAAAGTCACACATAGTGGATGGGAACTTCGAATCCTTCCTCTTTCCACTGCCCCCAGCTTCTGAAGCCCTAAAGAGCAGCCTTCACTCTGAGGGCCTCTTCTAATCCATAGGGAAGGAAGGAGGGGTGTTAATACTTGCAGGCATTGCCTGCCAGGACCACTGGGTCTGCTGTGGGATGAGGCAGGCGAGGCCCTGCTGTGTGTCTGAGAGGGGAAAGGGGCCCAGAGTCCTTGGGAGGGAAGAGTGGGGGTTGGAGGCCTATTCACTCACCTTTGGGACTTTGAAGAAGTGAGAAGTCAGGACACCATTCTTTAGGTAAGTGGGTCCAGGGTCCACCAGGCCTTGTTCCTTGGGGACTACTTAGAGGTCCCTGGGGCATCATTTGGGGTCTGAGTGTGTCTAGTCTGGGAAGGACTCAGTGGGAAGTGGTTGGAAATTGGCCAAATGGTGGTGGTGGTGGGGAGTTTCTGGGGCATTGGTCTTATGGCCCTGGTGGAAGGTGGAAGGGACACAGGCAAAAAGGGCCATCCAGTTCAACCTGCTCATTAAATGTAGGGTCACAAAGGACAGAGTGGTGGACCTTAGTCCTGTGTGACATCAGATAAATGGCTCACTGGTCTGAGCCTCACTTTCCTCATCTACAAAATGGGGATGTTCCCAGCATGACCTCCAAGGTCTGGGGTGAGGATGGAATGAGATAATGCTTTTGGTTTGTAAGTTTTCATTCATATCACCTGCTATCATTAACGCTGACAGTAGCTCTTATTACATGGATTTCAGGAGTAACAATGGCAGCCACAGCCTAGTCGTCTTAGTTTCAGAAGAGTCGTCCTTCCACTTGACCAGTGCTTGTCAGCTAGAGGCAATTCTGTGCCTCCATCCCCCTGTGGGACATCTGGCAATGTCTGGAGATATTTTTGGTTGTCACAGCTAAGGGAGTGCTACTGGTGTCTAGGGGATAGGGGCCAGGGATGCTGCTAAACAGCCTACAATGTGCAGGATGGGCCCCCCTGACAAAGAAGTATCCTGCTGAGTGTCACTAGGGCCAAGGTTGTGGGACCCTGCTGTAGCCCTGTACTATCCAGCACTGTTGCCCCAGCGACATGACCTACTGAGCACTTGCCATGTGGTCAGTCCCCACCATGACGTGCTTTCAGTGTAAGACACATACTGGATTTCAAAGACTTAGTATGAAAAGAAGAATGTAAACAATCTCACTGATAATTTTTATATTGATTACGTATCACAATGAGAATGCTTAGATACACTAGGTTAAATAAAGTATATTATTAAAATTAATTTAACCTATTTAACTTTCTAAAAATCGTGGCTACTAACAATGATTAAAATGACAGATGGGCCTACTTGTGGCTTGCATTCTATTTCTTTTGGGCAATGCTGGTCCAGACCCCACTGCCTCTCTCAGTGGTAATTGGAAATCATACTGTGCTGATGTCTTGAGGAAGGACAAAGGGAACTGTCACTCCTCTGCCACTTGCCTACACCTCCCCAACTCCTTGCCCTCACCTGGCTGGGCTCTCTGTGCCAGGACAGAGAGAGGGCAGGGGGCCTCTGTGTGGCCCTCCCCCCATCAGACAGAGGATCCAGCACTGCGCCAGTCTTGCAGGCTGCACTGAAAGTGCCTCAGTGAACAAACAGGCGGGTACGGTGACAGCTGAGGCTTACAGACCTCAGTGCCTTGGCTCCCAGCCCATTCCCCAGCAGTTCCCAGTTCAGAGCTGGGAGTGGGGAAGGGAGGGGGCTCCCCCAGGCCCCTGGGACCTGGACCACACTCCATTGCTATATTATGACCCTCAGGAATACTCAGTCCACCCTGAGCTTTACATGTAGGACAGCTGAGGCTGAGCCTAAGGCCAGGGGTGAATGAGAGGAGAGGGTCCTGGGTCCCAGGGGCCCAGACGCGTCAGCAGGTGGGGTGACTGAGCTCTTATTCTCTGAGAGGCTGGGCTGCGGGAGAAGTACTTGGCTGGGGCTTGATGGTGTCAGCATGGCCAGTGCCTGCAGTGCAGGTAGCAGGAGACTTGCTGGGCAGGGTTGTCAGGGCCCTAAGCGGTGAAAGATAGAATGGGGCTGGGGGTGTATGTGGGGGTCCATGTGGGGAAGATAAAGGGTTGGGGTTCAGTGGGGGCCTGGGAGAACCAGGGTACTCTGAGCAACCTCCAGCTGATGTGGGAGCAATAAGCCACACTGGACCTGCCCAGAGTCACCAGCAGTCCATGCCCCTCTGAGTCCTGCATGCTCCCTCCCCTTGGGCCTGTCCCCTCCCATCTGAGCAATGGGAGCACATTTCAAATGCTTGGAAGGAGGGCTGCAGGTAAAACTTTAGCATGATCCTACCTGGGCTCTCTCTGCCAGTTCATTCACACAAGCCACGCCTTCGCCAGGCCCTGCCCCACACCCTGCAGGGGAGATGGGTCAGTAGACTTGGCTGCGTCCTGGGGCTCTGACCTCAGTTTTGCCACCTCATGGCCTGTTCTCTCAGAAATCCGTAAGCCCCCTTCTACCCAGTCCGTGGGCAGAGAGAAGAGAGGAGGGAAGAGGACCCAACATCAGGGAGTCCTTTGCTCTTCCAAAAAGGACCCACCTCAGCACCTGGAGTCCCAGGGCTCAGCTCTGTAGAACAAGCCCCCTTTCTGAGCCCAGGGTGAAGTCAAAGGAAGGCATTTGGGGACAAGGACTGCACAGCCAGCGCCTGGGGACAGGCCACCAGCAGTAGCCCCCACAGGGTGAAATTGGAGCCTGATCAGCCCCCCCCAGGGTCAGATACCACCTCAGGGCAGCTCCCCTATGGACCTGCCTAGTCTCCAGCAAAGTCCATGGGCTGGCCTGAGAGTGAGAGGAGGGGACAAGGGGAGGCTGGGTTGGGGTGGTGGTGAGTCAGGAGGGTCTGAGGGGAAGGGAGGACGTAAGGGGGAAGAAGGGATGTGGTGAGAAGAAAGTGAGGAAGTGAAAGGAGAGAGGGTGGTGGAAGAAGCTGGGGTGGTGAGGACTGAGGCTGCCCTGGGAGAGGGTCAGGAGGTGGGAAGACTAGGGTGAAGAGGAGTGGGGGTGGGGAAAGGATGTTGACAAAGCAGGGGGCTGAGGCTGTGTCAGCATGTGTGTGTGTGGTCTCAGGATTTCAGGGAGGTTGACACAAGGTTCCGAGGCTCTCAGGGTGTCTGGGTGGTGTTCTTAGGATTTCTGGGCCCAGAGGCTTCGGGATGAAGGGTAGGTTGGGCGGGAGGAAGACTGTTCAGTACCTATGTCCAGGGAGAGTCTCAGGGTGTGTGTGGGAACTCCCAGGATTTCTAGGAGCGAGATCTCGGCCTGGAGCCCTGAGGTCGAAGCGGGGTGACTCCCACCAGCGCAGAGGCCCGCTTACCTGAAGACGTCGGTCCAGAGGTAGGTGCCCAGTACGTACACCGCCTCCACGCGGCTGCCATACTGCAGTCGCACGGTCCGGTCGCGCAGCATCTTCCCGGCAGTGACGGTCCTCGCCGCGTTCCGCTTCTGATCCGTAGCGAGCCACCTGTCACAGGTGCACTCGCTCCAGCCGCTTGCGCCGGTCGCAGCCCTGCGAGGAGCCTTATTCTGTCACCCGCGGGGCGGGGCGGCCCGCCGCACTCCTCTCGCAGTGGGCCACGGCTCTGTCTGTCAAGCGTGGCCACGCCCCTCAACTCATCTCGCCCCCCTGTGGTCCGGATGAAGTCTGCTGCTGCCAGTTCCCTCCTTTCCGTGTTGGTTTGCCCTTTTATTTATTTATTCATTCATTCAACAAATTGCCAGTGGGCGCCCAGGTGCTGGGCGCCAGGACACGGCCCCCATCCCTCTTCTGGCGCTCCCAGCCTAGTGGGGCAATGAAAACGTGGAGCTGCCAAACGGGCGAGGACAGGAGTTGGTGAAAACACAGAGGAGATGCCCTAACCCAGCCTGGGCAACCCGGAAGGCTTCCTGGAGTAGGAGACGAGTCTCAAGGGAGGCGTTTGCCAAACTAAGTGGGGAGGAGAGGGAGCTGCCTGATCTCCCTCTCCCGGTTCCTCTATTTTTGTCTGTCTGTATGATACCAACAGTCAGATTGGTATCAACAGAGCAAAAATGGGGAGAGGAATGGGAACAGAGAAGCCAGCAGCCTACAGAGTTTGGGATGCAAAGCCAAGGCATTGGGTGGGTGGGGGAGGGGAAGCCTGGAACAGGCGTCCTCAGGAGAAGTGTGCTGTGGCCAGAGGTGGAAGTGAAATGGGTAGAGGAAGGAGGTGGACCCAGTGAGGAGACTGAGGAAGAGGCAATGAAGACTCTGGCGGGGGCAGGGGGCCGCATGAGAAGGATGGGGAGAAGAGGGTCGATCTGACCCGTGTTTATAGACTGACATATTGATGCCATCTGGTGACTGCAAGTGTGAGAGTAGAGGGACAGCAAGAGGGCAGGACTGAGGGGCCCTATTCTATTCTGGGCACCACTACAGAAGCCAGTCTGGGTCCTATGGAGGCTGAGGTGCAAGGTGGAGCTGGTCCAGGCCACCTCATTCCAGACCCTTCTGGCTCTGAAGCCAGTTGAGGGGCTGTTTAGACAGTTCATCTCTCTCTCTCTCTCTCTCTCTCTCTGTGTGTGTGAGAGAGAGAGAGAGAGAAAAAGAGAGAAAGATAGAGAGGAGGAGGAGGAGGAGGGTGGGCAGACACTGTGGGGAAGAGGTGGGGTGGAGAGGGGATGTTTAGGAAGGGGATAGGACTGATGGGGGTTTGGGAGCATGTGTGTGGTGCGTGGATGCACCCATATAAGAGGGACCAAGCTTAGAGGTGTCTAGGTCCCTTTACCCCAGCACCCTATTGGAACAACCCACATTAGGATGTAGTGAAGGGTGCAGCTGCTCCTCAGAGGGATCTGGGAGGAACATAGAAGGGGGACTGGCTAGGGGGACATGTGCCTCCCAAATGCACACAGACTTTGGGTGAGGCTGGTCCCTACTAATTGGCTCCTCCTCCAATCAGGACGCAGCTTGAGGAAGCCAACAAAGAGAGAAACAAACCTGTGCTGGGCCTGTCTGTGAAGGTGAGGAGGGGTGTCTGCCAGAGTTATTGTCTGCGCTTCAACCATGTGGCAGATACTAGGCATCTGCCAAGAACCCTGCCTTATTGCAGTCCCTCATTTCACTGTACAAACCTGGGACCCAGAGTGGGGGAGGGACCTTACACCCCAATGAGTCCCCACTGGGTCATCAGAGGAGCAGAGTATATGATAACATCAGTCACAAGGCAGTAATTTCCAGGAGAGAAGTAAGAATGGGGGGGCACTGATTTCATGCTTTCTGCATGCCAGGCATTGCTCCAGGACAGCACTGTTCATGCCTTAGAATTAGGTCATTATCCCCTTCTAGTAACCCTGCCACTTTACAGATGAAGAAAGTGGGCCTCAGAGAAGTCCAAGAATTTACCCTTTGTCACATAGCTCCTAAGAGCAGTAGAGCCAGGATTGGAGCCTGTGCTGTTGCCCCAGGAAGGCAAGGACAATGTGGGGTGAAGGCAGACAGGAATGTTGTCACCTGTTTCATAGATGGGGACACTTAGCTTCTGTGCCCAGCTCGGCCTTTTTGCAGCCTTGAACATTCCACCCTGTCTCTCAGAGCCTCATGTTCCTCATCTGAAGTGATTCCTCTCTCAGCACAGATGTAAGGATATTAAACGAGCCCATCTATGGAAAATACAAGCACAGTGTTTGGTACAAGGTCAGTGTGCAAGAAATGAGACCCCTCTCCCCTTAATCCATTCTGGCCCTGCTGACCCCCACACACCCGGGGCTTCTGCCCCTGGCTTAGGGCCTGAGAGGTTGGGCCATAGGGCCTGGTTGATATGATGGAGCTTCCTGGTGCCCACGGGTTTAAAATAGCTGAAGTGGTCACAGCTGTTGGTGGATTCAGGGCCGGAGGTCTCACGCATCACGGCTGCTCCCACCACTCCCCTTAGGCCCAGAAGAGCCCCAAGGCATCTCTCTGTGCCTTTTGGGGAATGCCAGCAAAGGACAGGCTTAGCCAGTGCCCATTCTTGGCGCTGACTTATATCCCCCCACCCCACTCTGGTCCCTGCCAAGTGTGTGGCTGGAGCACTTGGGCTGGGAGGGGTTCTTTTGAGCCATTCTTGGCATTGGCCATTACTGGGGGTCTGTTCTGTGCCAGGCCTTGAGGCACCTGGGAGGTGATTCAGACACAGCACTAGCTGACCTCACAGCCCACTGAGGGTACCACTTGTGCAAGAATTTCAAAAGTAAGGAAAAAAAATCACACAAGTAATACTTGATCAGTGTGGAAATATCAGAAAAGCAAAATCAGATAAGCAAACAGAAGAAGGAATTAGGATCATCCTGGCTCCAGGATCCAGAGAAGATCACTGTTAACTTTAAAAAAGAAATAACTTTTTGTTGTTGAAAATATACACAGCAAAATATATACCCATTAAACAATTTCTACATATACAATTCAGTGACACTGATCACATTCTTTGGTGCAACCATTCTCACCCTCCTTTTTCTAATGTCCCTCTCCCATTAACCTACTATGGTCATGTTATCAGAAGAGACCATACACTTGAGAAGGATGTCATGCTTGGGAGAACAGAGGGTTAATGGAAAAGAGGAAGCCCCTCAATGAGATGGATTGAGACCATGGCTCTAATGATGGGCCCAAGCATGGCAACAACTGTGAGGATGATGCAGGACCAGGCAGTGTTTTGTCCTGTTGTACATGAGGTTGCTATGAGTTGCATCAGATTTGATGGCCCCTAACAACAACAACATTAACCTAAACTCACTGCCCTTTAAATTTCCTATCTAACCTTTTGAGCTGCTATTGTCAATTTGATCCCATGTAGGTAGTTCTTTAAAAGAGCACAATGCTCACCACAGACATCCACTGTTAACTTTTTTGAGTGAGATCTTGCAGAGCCTGCCTGGAGGAAGTAACAATGCTGCCACAGCTGACCAGACTCACACTTCCTGAACCACAGGCTGTGCCAGGGACTGTTCTAAGGGCTTCACTCGTCTTAGCTCATTTAATCCTCACAATAAGCCAATGATGTGGGAGCTATTATTATCCCCAATTTACACAAAGGCACTGTCCAGCCTGGTGGTGAAGAGCATAGGCTTTGAACTTGGCAGACCTGGGGTCAAGTTCAGCTTTGCCCTTCACTAGCTGTGTGACCTTGGGAAATGGATGGCTTCTCTGGGTCTCAGCTTCTTCTTCTGTAAGGGAGGTAAAAGCAGTCACCATGTCATAGGGTTGTAAGGAATAATGAGAAGATACATTGTCAAATGCTTGGCATATTGTCTGGCACAAACTCAAGTCCAAATAAATGGTATTTTCTACCAGTGACTGTCAAGTAGACCTTGACTCCTGGTGACCCCATGTATGTGAGAGTAGAATTGTACTCCATAGGGTTTTCAATAGTAAGTTTTTCAGAAGTAGATTGCCAGGCCTTTCTTATGAAGCCCTCTGAGTGGACTTGAACCTCCAACCTTTTGGTTAGTAGCCAAGTGCATTAACCATTGGTACCACCCACAGACTCCTATACCCTCCACAGAGCACCTCAGTAAGTGTGGAACAGATGAGCAGCCATGATCCAGGAGAAAGGGAGCAGGATGGGCATTGGAGCACCCAACTCATACCAGGTGCTTTACACAATGACCTCATGCAATCATTCCTTCACAGATACCAAGTGGGTCCCTGGGAGGAGAGAAGAGCCCTTGCCTGATGGCCCTTAATGAAGGTCATAGCCAATGAGGATCCTGCAGTGACCGTATCAGGACCTCGGATTCTCCCTGCCACCCCATCTGCTGCCACAATCCCAGACATGCCTGAGATCAAACATCTTGCCCCTCTGGGGGTGGAGGTTTGGAGCCTGACATTAAGTCCCAGATGGTGATGTGGGCTCCTCCCCCACCCTTGCCTCACCAAGTCAGGGAAGAAGGCCACTGCCTTTCTCCTCTCCGTCTTGAAGAGCTGGGGGATGTCGATGATGTCACAGTTGGCCAGACCCAGCTCCCACTTCAGCACCTCACGGTTCCAGTCGATGCAGCTCTAGGTGGGGAGGTGGAGGGAAGGCAAGGTTGGGGGACACCCTGCCAGTGTATGTTGAGGGGACCTCAGGGCTCAAGTCTGGTAGAGGAGAGGGGAATGTCCAAGTGCCTATGGATCAACTGTCCAAGCAAACCGTATCTGTGCCTTTCATTAAAACCTATCTGTTCTGTGTCCCATTCCCTCAGTCCTATCCTTCCATTTGGCTCCATCCTTGACTCTCTACCCTCCTCTAGATCCCTCACTCTTTAGGGTCTCACTCAGTTGAATGGCTTAAAATACCTTCTATGCACTGACCACTCACAAATTTCTATCTCTGACCCAACCTCTCTCCTGAGCTCCACACTGGTAAGTATGAAGCCGACTTAGCATCTCCACTGGGATGTCTAATAGGCACATCAAATGTAATTGTCCAAAG